GAGGTCGATACGACAAAGTGGGGGGGCCGCGTGAAGTTGGCCCCCCCAACCGAAAAAATTSTKTKCYGGTTAAAATTTGAGGTTCCAAATTTCGAAAACAAGGTTCCAATTAGTTCCAAATTRGTTCCAAAATATTGGCGAAGGTTCGAGGTCGATACGACAAAGTGGGGGGCCAACTTCACGCACGTGAGTGCACATATTATCACTTTTTGTGTGCATGTAAGCAGTTGATTATTTGGAAATTACCTAACGATTGGGTAGGTATGATAATGATTGTATTGCGACCGTTACATGTGTTCCATAATATGATTATAGTATTTTTTGGTCCATATTAAACGAAATCTGTAATTTGTCGAATTTTCAATAATTATATATTTTATGCAAGTCGGAAAGGCATGAGGTGAGATGGGATAACCATTAGACGCTATTATTATGTTATTGGTCAGTAAAATAAAATATGTCTAGTCTTTTTCCATTTTACTGCTGTAAATGCTATATGTTTATGTGAGTGATGTGCGAACTGCAGTGAAATATTTTCTCGTATATTAACTTCAGTTGAGCGTGTACAATGGAAATGCCGGAAGCGTATATCGTACGTCACCATGGATTGAAAATATCGAATAACATGCTTTGATAGTTTGAAATCCGACAAATATTTTATATAATATCAATAATATAGTACAGAAGATGTGTAATATACCAAAAGTCGATGCTCCGAACTAAATTTAAATTCTTTTAAATTCCTCAAAACTATATCATTATAACATAAGACTCGTGGGTATCTCGAACATTGTTATGCCCCCTTGAGATTTAATTTAATGAGTGCTTACTGTATATAATTTTATATTATATTATGCGTGATACAGCATAGTGCGACGATGGTTTATTTGAAAACCTAGTGCTCTGTATAATGCTGTTTTTAGACGTGCAGCACCGATAACGACGTATAGTATAAAACAATACATTTATTTATTTCGAACGATGTGTTGCAGGTATCAATTTTTTCTGCAGCTCAAACAGGACATATTACAAGGACGCGTACCCGTCACCCAAGAACTGATGGCTGAGCTGGGAGCATACGTCGTGCAATGTGAGTACACAATAATATTTTACGACGATAACGATGTACAGGATGATGGATCTTTATTCAACGGGAGACAATCATTGTTTCAAAAACTATTTCATTTTGAAAACATTCTTTGTTACTTATTTTTAACACAGTTATTTAAATTCGGGTCAAGCCCAATAAACAGAACATTAATTATTATAACAATCAACGCATTGACACGGTAATATAAAAATAGAATTTAAAAAAAAAGGAAATAAAGGAATGAATAAAATAGTGATGGAAATATATAGAATAGAATTTGAATGATTAATTTAACAATAAGCATTAGTAAATTACTACAATTTAAAGTTAAGTAAAAAAGTTGTAAACAATTTTAACAAAAATTTTGATATTTAGTATATTATAACAGAGCACATTGTTATATTTTTTAAAATTTTTAGCAATGACATCCATTTTTAAATCCTTATTTCAATGAGGGAGATTTTTTTGGAGAATTTTAATGTACAAATTTAATTTTGGACAAGTAGCATATAATTATACAGAAATAGGTATTTAAAGTTTATAATAGCAACGTGGAGTAGTAGTACTACTGCTGTAGTACTGGTGCAGGTCCCTGCAAAATTTTGTTTTATTACAAATCCACTTATTTTAAATTAAAATATTTATGGCTAATAAACCACACTTATCCGAAATTTGATTTTATTAAGCGGCTTACTTTCGTATACTATTCTTTTTCGAAATTAAAATACCTGTGTGTGTTGCTAACAAATAGAGTAAAACTTACGAAAATATAACAATAATATAGTTAAATTGTAAAACATATCATTTTTTTCCAGAAATGTAGGTTTGTGAAAATGTTAAATTATGTAAAAGTTATATTTTCAAAAATGCTGGGGTTTTTTGAAATAATAATTAATATGTCTATTAAATGGATCACCCAGTAGGTACATATAATATATAGGTATGTAAATGTATTTCACACGTGTGCTTAAAATCTGTGTGATATTGACAAACACACACGTGATTGCAAATAATAACACGAGGTTCTCGAGTTTCTTTGAAAGGTGCACGCGATCCTGTACCGTGGTATTAATGAAACGATTTTTTCTTAGCCCGCAGGTTTTCGGTTTTTCATTTTAGCACTACACGCATGTAAAGGTAAAGTAGTCGTTTTGTGGTTTCCGTTACTACAGTTTTTTTTTTCGTAAAAACCATCAGACCAAAAATCGAAAAGACGCACAAAAACCGAAATTAAAAACAAGGAAAATACAATAATATCCTGTGCGTTTTACACGCCACACGCATATCATCCCGAGGCCGTTGTTAAACTGCGAAAATTGTTTTTCCACTTGTGTAGTTCACTTCACGTTTTCTGCATAAAACTTTTTCACGCTTTACCGAATCATCGCTGTTCCTACCACCACTACCCCCTCATTACCACTGCCATGACTTCCGACCAGAGTTTCACCATGTCCTCAACGACGTTGTTGTGCAAAAGTATAGTCAAAAACAAAAAAATTATAATAACACTCTCGCCAGAAATTTCGACCACCACAGTTTTAAACAATAGTCCCTTTGTGTGCGATATTCCTTTTTTTACCAAAGCCGTTCAAGACTAAGATTACATTTTTTTTTTTTAATTTCTTTTTTAAATTTTTTTTTATAAAAATTATTTGAATATATTGTGCGAAACGTTTTGCTGAACTTACAATAAATTGTACGATAATGTCGTGGGTTTTAACCAGAAAGTTTTACGAAATGTCATAAATTTCCTTTAATTATTCAATTCGACGGATTATTCTCATTGTTTATTCGTAATTAGAATAAAAAAGTATAAAATATCTCTCAATATAATATATATATATTATATTATGGAGCGTAATAAATTTATCGAATTTGTTAGTCATCTTCTTGTTATTCGCGATAAGACATTAACTCGCGAAATTCAAAGCATCGATAAATTAATTAAATGTATGTACACACACAAACGTCACAAATGCAGTCACCATTGAAGATATAGTTAGATTAGATAATAATAATTTTAATTTTAATTCTATACCATTTTAAAAATGTTAATTAATAACGACGATGATACGTAAAAGCCGAGTTACGATCTCCCGAAATTCTTCATGTTCTCCGTTTATACTATAGGTATACAAATGTTTGTTTACTGTGCCCTTTTTTCCAGAGAATTAATTTGATATTTTTTTTTCTATTTGCCAACTACGTTGAGTGACATTTTATCGTAATAGTTCATCCCCGTTCAATACAGTTTACACTGTTTACAGTTGACATTTCGACGGTCGTTGACTCTGCTGTGTAAAATGTAAAATGTAAGATGTTAATATTATATATGACCCATTCCGTTTTCAACTATAATATGTGTGTTTTTATAGCTGAAAATTACAATTCATAATACAATTAATGATCTCTCAATAATATTTAAAGTTCAATTCTCCTCAGACGAAAATCTTTCGGTGATGTAAAAAAAGAATGAAAACACACCTATACCTTTTTTTAATATTTCAAATTGAAATATTACATTTTATATATACAAATGTATATAAACATGTTATATTATATTGAAATGTCGATATTATACACTGACAACACATAAATAACATAACTCGAAAACAGTAAATTACGTAAAATGTAATTTGGAGGTATTATATATATGATTATATATAAAAAACAACGTTAAACAAACAGAACGAACTTGATCAGATTACACTTGTAGCTGTGGCAAAACAAACATATAAACAACTAAACAAGTATATATAGTCATCAATCGTCATCTGATATTGTTCTCAATATTGTCATCTAATATTTATTTGAACAAAAATATTATGTGGTTGAGAGCACTGTGTTTTTATTTTATTTAATATTATATTATATTAGACATATATATTCGAACTTTGTATAGTATTCGCCTATTCTTCAACTTTCAATAATTTTTTTAGACTTTTATTGATCAAAACAACGTTAAAATTTCGACAATTTTTGGAACTTGATAATAGGTGAAAAATATGTTATGGCTGTTTATACCGAAAAGTTTTATCAAAACAGTTTTAATTTAATATCGGATCACCTATAATAATAATAATATTACATAATATTGGCAAACATAATGGAAAGACGCTTGAGAAACGGAGAGCATTTCATTATAACTTATAGGTAATAAATTATTACTAATAATATTTAATTATTATTGTAATACGCGACGTAGGCGAGGATGGGAAACAAGGTAGCTAATAATTACTATTTGACGACTAATGAGATCGTGATAGGTAATAATAATAATAATATGCGTGTGGCGTGTTCAATATAATAATTGTATAATAAGCGTTTGGCGTTTTTCGTGATAGCCACGTTCACGGAGATAACCTTCGAATGAGTCAAATCGAGAGAAAAAACACGATAACAATAATAATCCTAACAATTGACAGCTGACTGTGAAATTCCGCGGATAGTGTACTGAGACTGTGTGTAAAATCTGACGTTCTAGTAAATTCCGAAAATTGAAAATTGAATGGGTTAACGTGACGTGCTATACATACAATGTGATTTGTAAAATTCATATACTATATAATATATCTAGGTAAACCGGGATATCCTTATAAATGCAAGATATAGTAATTATTTCAATATAATCTAAACTTTTAAATGGTAGAGTGGACTAGAAAAGAGATTTAAAATAATTTTTAAGCTGACAATTATTTTACTTAGATTTTAAAGGAGTAAGTGCCTGTTTTAACTTTCAAAACCGGGCTTGATAGGTATATGCGTTGACAAAAATAAAAATTTCAAAATTATACATTTTTTCGTTATTATGTATTGACTTCACTTGATATTGAAATTTCAATATATATTTTACTTGTTTAAATTGTTTTTGAACTTTGAGGTGGAAAGATTTCCAAGCGATTTTTAATACCATAATCTGCGTTATAATTTATAACTCTACGAGTATATAAAAATTTTTGAAAATATTTTTTTATATTAGTTTTAGTTACTAATAAAATATATGTTTTACTGAGATTATAATTTGTACTGAAGTACACTACAAAATTTTGGTTAGACTACCACTAGTTTAAATTTAAATTTTTAAAAATAACTAAAAAATTAATATTTTGAGAAACGTTAGTATTAAATTAATTTTAGAGTGTTTTGCGTTAAATTGATCACTCCGTAGGTGTATTACGGCCAAAAGTGGAAATGAAACTGCACCGTGTGCAGTACACGTGAAATGCTTATAAAATGTATTATAATATCTACCTGGCTACCTATGTATACATACTCGTAATATAACACCTTTGTAAACCTTCAAATCATTTTTTCACGTGACGATCTGCGAGTGTGGTGACTGCTTGTCATATTTGTATCTAAAAAATACATTGTCGTTAGAGTCGAACGTGAAGCTGTCGGCACTGAAACTCGTCTTACGTGGTATATATATATTTAATAACGCAAGCGCACAAGCGCATCCGAAATCCCGAGATAACGAGTATTAGTCGGGCAAAAGGGGGTCGGATGTCGTATTGCCCGACAGATTTTTCGGTGAAAAATGCTATTTTTCTTATTTTCGCGAGTGGGAGGAGGTTTAAGCTTATATATATATATTTGTGTGTGTGTAGGTGTTTGTGTGTATACCCTAGAGGGTGTAAAACGAAACCGACTTATTTCGAAGACCGACACTCGTTATTATTATTTCAAAAATCGTTGAATCTTTGAAAAATTTTCTCTTGGAAAAACGTATAAAATACGTACATTCGATTGCTACGGTTTTTACAATGAAACCTATCCTAAAAAACACCTCTAAATATAAAACACACCTCCAGGGGATACAATTGCAATGATCTAGGATTTCACTCTGTATTGTACCCATAATATTGTAGGTATTAAGATTTCACCCTCACGTTTGCTGCCGAATCATCATCGACTTTTGAACTTAAGATCTTAACTGTAATTTAAAAAAAAAATACATAATAATAATATATACTCTTTGAAAAGCGATGATTTACATC